TCCCATCCCGCCCTCCGCGCCGGCCTTTGTTCCGGGCCAGGGGCGCACGCAGCGCCGCGGCCGGGGTCAGCGTCTCCCCGCTCCCGAGAGTCCCGGGGTGCGGCGCGGAACGGGGGCCGGGAAGCGGATTGGGCCGCTCGGAGGGGGAGGAGCCCGGGGTGGGGCGCGCCCACTCCGCCGCCCTTTCCCCCCAGCTGCCCGCAGCTGGAGACGCCGAGCCGCCCTGCGAGCCACACGTGGGAAAGCCAGGCTGCACTTTATTTCCCGCGGAGGGCGTCCCCCGGGAGTCCCCGGTCAAGTCGCGAGGGAGCCCTGGCGGGGGCAGGATGGGCACGCGGGCGGGGCATCCCTGAGGCTAGAGGAGGCCAGGGGTCCGGCCCTACACTGTGCTGGGGGCTGTCAGTACCCCGGCCTGCTGGTGAGGAGGGAGGTTCGGAGTGTAGGGCCCGGAAGGCAGAACGGACACAGAGCTGGAGTCTGGCAGTGAATCTCAAGCGGCCGCTCCGGCCCATGGCTTTGGGAATCTGGCCTGGCAGCCAGTGCCTAGATATTAAAGGGAGTGGATTTTTTTTTTTTTTTTTAATTTTTATAAGTCAGCGTCTTGCTATGCAGCCCAGGCTGGCCTCCAGCCCTCTGCAGTCCTTGCTCAGCCTCCCGAGAGCTGGGGTTACAGGTGTGCGGTGGGCTTGGAAGTCGAGGTCGAGGAAGGGGAGGAAGGACAGGGCTTGGGAGCAGACTTAGCTCCTCACTCTGCCACCCCATCCTGCGGCCGGGAGAGCAGATGGAGTTTTCTTTGGAGCTGAGCCCGGAGGTAGCGGAGGTCTTGCTGGTCCAGCCCGTGAGCCAGGCCCAGGTAAAGGGTAAGGAGGAGGGCAAGGAGGAGGCGGTCAGTGCCCAGGGTCGGCACCACCCACAGCACCGTCAGCAGCTCCACGCACACCGGGTGGCGCAGGTGGGAAAAAAGCCGCAGGGCGCGAGGAGACTTCAGGGCTAGAGGCTCGCCCAGCCCCAGCACGTGGTAGTACACCTGGGGAGGGAGGACGGCGTGGACCACCGGCGGCTGAGAGGCTGAGCGGCCTCCCTCCTGTCCCAGGCGCCGCCCTCCGGAGTCAGACCCAGGGACCTTGCCAGGCCCTGGAGCCCCGTGGGCGCTGGCCTCTGAGGGAGGCTGAAGGAAGACCGCCTTACAAGAAAAGGCCCCGAGGGGACAGAAGGCCCGGGAAGTCACGGGCGGGCGGGCGGGCGGGGCTTCCGGGGCCTCACCTGCTTGAGGCCCATGAGCTCGGCATAGTCGAAGACCAGGAGGATGCTGAAGATGAGCAGCCAGGAGATGACGTGCAGAACGAAGCAGAGCAGGGGCACCCAGGTGGCCCACGGCTCGGCCCGCGCCTCCCACAGCACCGGGCCTCTGGGCACAGCGTCCCAGTTCCGCATCACCAGCTGGGGGAGAGACGGGGCTGGGCGGCCCGCAAGTACCCCGGCCCTCTGCGGGGGCCCGGCGCGCGCAGCCCGCAGCTCTGCCCCGCTCGTGACCACGGCCCCCGTGTACTGTGTGCAGGACGCGGGCGGAGCCGCGGAGCTGTCCGAGGGTCTAGGGCTGCGCGGTCCTGCTCCGAGGGCACGGGGCACGGCAAGGGGCCTCGGCCAGGCACCCAATGGGAAGACGGATGGCCTGGCAGCTGGAGCCGCTCCATTCCCAGGGAGGTGGTTTTTAAGAGACAAACGGCAGGACTGAGGAGGAGTTAGGGGGCCCTCGAGGGGGGGCTGCATAAAGTTGCAAAGGTGCAAATGAATTGGTAGTGGGGGGGGTGTGACAAGTACACTCTGTTCTCTTTCCTGGGACGGACGCTTCTGCGTAGGCCAGGCCGGCCTTGAGCTTGCTGCCCAGCCCTGCCCAGCCCAGCTCGACCTCGAACGCGCGCTCCCTGTGCCTCAGCCTTGCAAGAGCGGGAGGTCCCGGGGCACGCGACCAAGCCCGCCACGGCCGGGGCCCCTCTTGACAGGAGGGGGTGCGCTGTGGAGGAGCGGAAGCCGGGTGGACTCACTCAGTTCTCCTCATTCTCCGCACTCCGCCCCTCGCCTGGGGCGGCCCCCCAGTGTCCTCGGCGTCCGCGCCGCCCGGGCCTCCTACCTGCAGGGCCAGGGCAGTGCACGCCACATACACAGACCTCTGGAGGACCCCAAAGCGCCGCGACGTCCACGCCTTCGCCGCTTCTGTGGCCATGAGGCTGTGCTGCCCCACGAACAGCAGGAGAAGGCCCAGGTCCCAGGCCAGGGCGGCCAGCACGGCGCGGTCCTGCAGGGCGGCGAGCCAGCCCTGGCGGGGGCCTGGCGGCGCCGGGAGAGGCACGCACGTC